CATATTTGTTATGTAGCGTAGCATAACCCTTTTGTGTTATTCTTGTGCAAAATGGGACAGAAAAGTACTTTCTTCCATTTTTTTAATTGTCGTTCTACGCTTCACAAAGTCTTGTTTCTAGTCTAGATGTTAAAAAAAAATGCAGACCTTTTAGTAGTTACTTTGGTAATACAGAGAAGTATTTTCAGGTATGTACAGCATCAAACTCGGCGTGAAAATAAAAATTAAAAGAATAAAAGTATACATAAAATAGAGGAAACTATTTATATTACGCGTTGAAAGGATTCACTCGTTACATTTTTTTAGATTGTTTCTTCTCCCTGCACACTCTTGGGTACCCATAAACGGGAACAAAACGAAAGGGTTTTTAGTAATTTTTTTTTGATGTCGTATAATATCCCTCTTTAGTGTATTTATTATTAGTTCCTTTGATTCCGAAATATTAATATACTTGCTTGTAAAAATTACTTTAATGCGAAAAAAACAAGTTTTAGTGTTTTATCTTTCATTTGTAACATTGTCCATTTGGAGACCACTTTGGGTAGTGTATTTATTGTCTTGCAGAAACAGGGCATGTATTTTCCTCTTTCCCTTGGTGTTAATTTTATGGGGCTCTGCATCATTTTGTACATCTTTTGACCTTCAGTGATTTGGATATCAATGCACTAGTCTTTAACTAAACTATGCAAAATTAAATCGTGTGGTTTGATGCTTGCATTATTTGTTTTACTTTTCCAGTGAAATAGATGGATAATGGCGATGCTTCTTTTTTAAAAATCCTTTAGCTACACTTTAATCGTCCATGTCTTTATTTTTAGTGTATTGTGCCGCTGGGGCTTGGGATTGTGGTATGGGCCAGTTTTGCTGACTTAAGTAACAATAGTGTGCATTGGGCAGCTTTATTAGCATCCTTTTTCATAACAATGCAACTTGAGTGGCGTTTTTGGGGGTGTTTATTGGCGTTTATATTATTTTTCTTCCTTTTCCCATCATTTTTTACCCTTACTATTTTTAAGAGAGGTTAAGACTTGGTAATAATTTTCTATTTTCCTCCTTCACCCATAAAATAAGGAATTCATAGTGTTTTCCATTTTATTTTAGCATTTAGGGTTAATCCATCAGCACTAAACTATGCAAAACAACGGTAATAATAACACCAACTCCGCAAGAGTACGCAACTCATCGAGTCCCGGTGGCTCTGGGCGTACAAGTCCCGGTGGTCACCGGCGCACTTCAACCGGCCGTCGCTCACCCAATTCTTATTATGAACGCACCACTACCGTCCGTTTTGTACATGCCTCAACTGGCCACATGGTGTGCACTAAGTTGAACCGTGTGCAACACACAAAGTGCAAGATTGAGGATGCTGTTTGCCTATGCGAAAACTTCCTTAAAGGGCACTGCGAAAGTGGTAGCAGTTGCTTATTAGCACATGTTCCCAACCACTACCTCTGGTATTTCCTGACACCACGTGTGAACCCTAATACCTTTGTCTACCAACAGGGCTTTAATATCCGCTGTTACACTCCCAACATGGATGCTTACTATGACATCCCCAGCAATTTCATCTACCAGACGCATGGCAGCGAGCGCTACATAGTGCAGTTCAACGATAACGGGGATAACTTTCGCGAGAAGTACCGCCTCTGCAGCACGCTGCTACGAACAGGGTATTGCGAAAATGGGTACAATTGCGAAGATGTGCACTGCTGCGTTTCTGATATGTCCGCGTTCCCCTGTATTCACACCCACATCGCTGATAGTGAGGCGGTCAAAAATTATGAGCGACTACCGGCTAACATTAGAGTGCGCGTGTTTCAGCCAAACAGCGGAGATGAGGGGCAGGACTTCCCTGGCAATGATGTCCTCCGTACTGCTGGTGCCACACAGTACGAGGAGGCCTATAACAGAGAGGGTAATGTACCAACAGTTAAAATGCAGCACTGTGCTCACTTCCAAAATAAGAAACTCTGCCGTCTTGGCGATGGCTGCCGATTTTTACACGTCGTATCCATGGCCCTATCGGTTCCCATGGAGGAGGAGACGGTGGATACCTCGCCATATCAGACTCCAGTCGATAAGGAGGCTTTAGAAAAGCAGTTTGCTGTCCAAACTAACAAGAACAACGCGGCTTACCTAGCTGCAACTGTCATGATCGATGATATGGTGGATAACTCGGCAAAGAACTCCCTCACACCATATTACGCGGCGGCCAATCCCATTGGCTACGACAACGCTGGTAGCAAAATCAGCCCCGCGATGGTTTCGCCGAATATCCTTCCGAGCACCCCTGCGAACACGGCAATGTTGACGAGTGGAATCCTGAACAGTGCCACTGCGGCGGCTCCGCAAAAAGATGCGCAACCTCGAGATCGCCGCTCACCGGTGCGGCGCCACAACCCCTACCTGAGTTCTTCCATCGAGATGGACAACGGAGTGGATTAAAACACACTAAGAAAGAGAAGATCAGAAAGGATGAAGGGTGAAACTTGCATAAGGCACAGGCAACAGTAAACATAATATAATAATAATATTGATAATAAAGAAGGGAAATTTGAAATTAAACGAGATATTGTATATTGAGTTCTAAGAAAAAATGAAATATTTGAGCATATTGGTTACCGTACCACTCCATTTTTATCTTTATGGTGTGTTTTCCAATACTAAAAAGCATCTATTGTGAATAGTAATTAATTAATAAAGAAGTGCTAACCGCTCATTCATTTCTTTATCTATTTCCCATATTACTTTCCCTCATTATTTGACTGTTTCTATAACCTAAAACATTCCTTCCTTCACAAATGTTCTTTTTTTTTCTTGAGTAAATTGGGTGGCTGTACTTTATTGCTCTTCATATGCTTGGCTCTGTGCATGAAATGATCATTCAAATCGAGCTTTATGATGTTTATTCATATATTGGCTTCTTTTTTGTCGGAGGAAGGGTCAACTGTGCTACTTCTTTTTCATTATTCGGTGTATAATATACACACACACACATAGGTAAAAAGAGAATATGCTCCTATTGATGCGATCAATCATTTCTCTTTTGCTTTTTTATAGTTACTAGACTAAATAGTATTTTCTTTATTATTGTTACTATTACTATTACTATTACTATTATTATTCAAAGATCAACGAATTTATTATTTTTGTATCAGTAAAGATTTTTTCACCATTCAGTTATCACTTTGCTATTATTTTGGAATGTGCATTTGCGTTTTTCGCTTTACCTTTTCTTATGATTTTTAATTCGACTTCCTTTTGCTTTCAGTCCTGTAGTGTAGAATGTTTGATGTGATCATATTCTGATCCATAGATTAGCTCAGTGCAAAGAAATAGCATTGCGATGCAACGCGTTCCTTATATTTGGTATCGGATAGTAGTTTATATTTATCAAGTAATTCTCTCTGGAATCCGATGATTGCGTAAATGCATTCTTCTGACTTTCCCTCCACTACAAATAAATGAAAATGTTGTAAAGGTTCAACATCATATAGCGAAAGTTATAGTGGAAGCGAATAAAAACAAAAAATTGTTAAGTTTAAAAGAGGAAATTCCCGAATATTTGTACACCACGTATTACTCTTTTTTTTTTGCAATTTCCCCTTTCAGTGTAAGCAATGTTATTTTTATACCCAACATTTATTCTGAAGCAGTGTCCTGTTTTTGTCCTTTTAAAAAAATTTGTTAGTGTGCACACATAAAATACATGTACTTGTATTACGCGCTTCAGAAAAGGCGTGAACTATAAACGAATCAATTAGGACTGTTTCCAAGCACAGTAATGGGATAGCCATTACTATTCTATACAAATGACCGGAGGTAAAGCCATCTTTTATGAGTAAATTATTATTTTCTTTAAGAAAAACCATAATTAATACATATCTTTTATGCCACATTTTTTTGTTATCACCTTCCTATAAACTTTGATTTAAATGTTACACCACTTCCCCCCTCTTCTTGAATTTTTTATGTAGTGGCTTTGAGCCGTTCTTTGGAAAATTGGGGAACGTCTCTGCGCGTAAATGGAAAAGAATGTATATACAAAAATGTCGTTTCTTTTATTTTCCTTTTAATCACAGCCAAACAGACCCGTTCTTTCGAAAAGATAAGAATTGAGATTTTGCATACAGCATTAACGTTAGAAAATCAAGGAACCTCAATATATTCGTTCACCCGATTATAAAATCCAATCAACAAAAAATAGTGACGATAAATTTCTTAATTCGTTTCTTTTTAATTTTATTATCTATAATAGTTTCCATTCTGTGGACATTTCTATAAACATTTAAATTCTTACACGTCTTGAAGTGTATGCAATTAGCGTTGTTTACTTAATTTCGATAGATATCAATTAAAAATTGTATTGTAATGAGAGTTGCTAATTCTCACTCATAAAAGACACATTCTATAACTGAAATTAGAATTTTTTTTGTTTTTGGACTTCTAAGGAATTAAATTCCAATAAAAAGATTCATTATTTCTTTATTTTTGAATGGTAAACCAAAGAAACAAAAAAAATAAACCAAAGTGTAGTTAACAATGGGTTCATTCTCTACTAATTTAATTATTATGCTTGTATATTTGCAGTTTTCCTTCCTTTCAATTGTTTAGGCAAGATCTCATTTCTTTACTGGTTATCTTTACGAATATGTTCGTATTTCATTGCGAAATACGTTTATATTTTTGCTATTTGCCCTTCGCAATTGCTCTCTCGATGTATTAACATACTGAAAAGTGACTGACAGTTCTTTATTACAATGTGAAAATATCTATAAGATCTGAAATCACTTCTCTTTTGACTTAATTATCCTTTCACTTCATTTTTGTACATGGTAACTTTATGGTGTTTGCTTGTGATAATTAATTCTAATCATTAGTACTTCCTTTTTTTCGCGTCTTTTTTTTTAATTTGGAAAGGTCAGCTTCTTAAAAAATCAAATAACATATTTTTCAAAATCTTTTAATTTAAACTAATTTGATCCTTCAGTTATCTTTTTGTTTTCCTTAAAAGTGAAAGTGAAACGAATCGATTAGACAGATTCCTAGATCTGAATATATTATTAAAGGATAAAAATACATTCCTTTCTATAAATTTGTTTTACTTTTTGTATTCCTTCACTTTAGGATTTTGTGGCTTTTTGTTGGCGCTCTGTTGTTACATCTTTCCTTTAGATACCGACCTTAGGTGAGGCAGCAAGATTGAGAAGAAAACAAGTAGTTTTCCCATTGTCTTGTTTAAACATATCTTCACTTTATACGTATTTTTTTGTACGACCTCCATAGGATCGTATAACATTTATACCACGAGTAAATAAACGAAAGAATACTGACCCGCGGGCCTCATTCTGCATATATCTATAAATACATTTATACATTTATATATATATATATATATATACGTATTTATATATATATATAAAGCGTTCTTTACATGTTCCAACATATGGATATAGCCAACGGTGGTAGTCAGCAAGTGGTGATTCGGAGCAACCAATCTCAGCACCAGCAGCAAGCGTCGCAGATGTTCGCACCCCAGTATGGCTACCAGCAGCAACCCTCCTACTTCGCGACGTTCCCGAATGCACCGAACAGCTGCGCGTCCTCAGCGCCGAACAAAGGCAGCATGAACTTCGTCGCGCAGCAGCCCTCGCCGTATATGCAGAAGCAGCACCCTGTGCTTTCGTATAGGTACGCATCAGAGATGCCCAACAGCAACCAATACATTAACCCTGTCCGTTATCAGCCCAACCAAGACAACCACCGCCTGTTAACCTCGGTAGGCTATGTCACGGGCAATGGCGGACAGGACGGCTTCCAAATGCCGCCTACGCAACCTCTAACCCACCATCACCACCAACAACAACAACCCCAGCCCCCCCCCAACAGCAGCCCCAACTGCCGCGGGGGGCCCGCGGCCGTATAGGGTCCACTTCACTCAACGGGGCTCCTCCGACTAACGGCGGCTTCATCCCCTATTATCGCCAGGTCTACAACCCCAACTACTATAACCAACAGCACCATTACAGCAGCAACAACGCCGTGCCGGAGAAGACTCCGACCCTGCACGTGATGAACCCCGCGACGAAAAAAGTGATGTGCGTTAAGCTCAACCGCATCTACTCTACCATGGTCGACCTCCACGCGCACCAGAACCCCCAACACGATGCTAGCAAGGAAATTTCCCTCTCCGAGGGGAACTTGAATGAGGCCCGGTTCGACACCCCACTGATCCTCTGCCAGGACTTTTTGAGCCTGCGAGGCTGCGCACACGGTAGTGGCTGCGAGAAGGTCCACGTCGCCGGCATGGAGTACATGTGGTGCCCGATAGAGCCCTCCACCCTGGTGAAGGATGGGAAGGAGATGTACAAACCTGGTTTCAGAATTCACTGTTATGATTCTGTCTTAACCACGTACTATGACATCCCATCTGAGATCATCGAGGTGACTCGGGGCAGCGAAACCTACGTGGAGATGTTTAACGAACACAGGGATAACTTTAAGACAAAGATAAAGATCTGTCCCTGTGTGTTATGTGACGATATATGCAAAAAAGGGAAGGAGTGTCTTAATATTCACTGCTCCCGCAAGGATTTCTGCGAAGTCCAGGAAAAAAATACAAGATCCACTCATATTAACCATGCACCCCAGATGAAGGATGTGCCGCGACTTCCCGCCGACATGATCGTGCGCGTTTTTGATCAGAACAGTTATAAAAACTACCACGACTACCCGGGAACTAACGTGCTTATCACTGAAGGAGCGAAGAACTACATAAAGTACTGCGAGCGGAAGATGAATAACATCCCTTTCTCTAAGAGAATGCAGCACTGCGCGCATTTTAGGCTGAAGGAGATGTGCCGTCTAGGGGCCTCCTGTCGTTTTCTTCACGTCTTACCAACGCCAGAGGAGATCCAAGAAATGCGAGATCAGGAAACCCTCGTAATTGCACTGAAAGAACATGGTGATCAAGGACAAGTTCATTACCTGTAAATGACTAAGTGAACTTACACAGTAGATCCTCATCTTTTTTATCTTTATGAGTGTAGAGAAAGAAGGTGGGGCGTGGGGGAAAGATGGAGGCTGTGGTTAAAAGAAGCTAAAGCTTGAAAAAGGTAGAATCAGACGTAATACGAACATAATTTACTTCTCCATGCTATTGGAAGAAGGTGACATAATCTTGAAATGAGCGCTGATATAAGGAAGCTATTCATCGTCTCAGTGATTTATTTCATACCTTGGAGATGCGTTTTGATTCCTAGTTTATCAAGATGCAATTTCTCCTGTAAAAAGGGTGAGAGTGTTACAGTGATTTACCTTTTAATTTTTATTTTTATCTTCCCTTTCTACAAGGTTTCTATGAGGCTTTGGCTTCCCTAGTTTTCTTTTTTTTTTCACATTAAAGTAGCAAAATTATTGTACCCACAAGTTCACCGATAAAAATTATTTCATATAGCACGCACACCCACTTATAAGATTGTAAAAAGAGAGGAATAAACCCATTTTCGATACATATACACACACATACTCATATATATATATATATATATATGAATGTATGAATTCATTTATTTCTGTTGATTTTTTTTTTAATTCTTTCTTTATTTTCTATAATGCTTCTTATGAGCGAAAAAGTAAAAACCCTCAGAAGGAGTAAACTATATATATACCTATATATCTATATATATATGTAGTTTACCAAAATACTAACTATGTAGACAGAATCACAACACAAAAGGGTAGTCTATTTTATGTTTTACAGAAGAGGGAGCATAGGACATCTGCTGTTATCAATAACATTACACCTATTTCTTTAGATGAGAAATCACTTTTTTCGGTTCCCCTTCATTTTACATTTTTTTTCCATTATTGAAAGATAAGTGTGCGTGCTTTCAAAAGTGTATACCTTAAATATAGAGAAATGATTCTAAAAACAACAACCATGCATAATACACCTTTAGAGTCATCAACTTCTACTGTCATTCATATTGGGTTCGATATATGTGTGTTGATAAATTATTCTCTTATTTATTTTGTACTTTTTTCTCCTTTATTTTTGATGCGTTTTTTTTTTTACCAAGATATATTATCAAGCGTGTTGCTAAGATAAATCTGTATAAACTGCGTAATCCAAAAGCATGCATACGTGTATGTTATTTTTTTTTATTTGAAGAGAAAAGGGGGAAAAATTATATTATATCTCAAAAACATTTTGCCGCTAATGAAATGATATCTTGGGAATCCAGCCGAAAACAGAAAAAATGGTCTGGATAGATATCAACAATGCAATGTAAAAATAAAAGTACACTGATTTATAAACGCACTTTTCGTTTACTTTTATCAGTTTTTTTTAATTGTAGTGTCTTCTAAAGATATTTTATCCGATTTGATCATTGTTTTTTATGAAGAAAATAACATTCAATGCTGAAATGCCTTTGATATTGTAAATGATAGGATTTTTGATTTTATGCAACCCCTTTTATTTGTTTTATTTTTCATTATATTTAAAATATCTTAAATATTATTTTTGTGGTATTGTTTTTCTTTTTTTATTGTATCCCCTACAGGATTAACAAATCAGTCAAGTCTAAAAAATCTAGTTGATGTTTATTGTAGTTCCTGACCTTTTCTTGTGATAAGAAGAGATAATGGAATAAACATAGGATTAAAGGGTGCTCAAAACAAGAGAATATGAAAAGCTCGGTAGGCCGATTGACATCTTAGTTTGTGAATTTCATCTTTCCATATATTTCTTTGTGATATTTATTTGCTTTTTTATTTGCATAGTTGCGGTATAGGAAAATTTAAATGTCTCTTTCATATATTTAGAAACGGAAGAAACTGATATATCTACCCCATAAGGGATTGTCCAGATATCGTTTTTTCCCCTATACATGTGATAGGTTACATCATTTTTACAAATAATTTTATTTTATAGACCTCAGTAGTGGGAAAAAAAAAGATGCTTTTGAAAATAATGATATATTTTGAAGAAATTCCTTTTTTAATCGATTTTTATTTCAATTTTATATTTTTGAAGTGCTTTAATGTATTTTTCTTTATTTAATGTGTGTATTGTATGAAATTATATTGTGAAAAAAAGAAGGAAAACAAATAGAAAGAAAT